ATTGCTGTATAATGTATTGCTGGGATTTGTAGCCCTCTATAGCTGATGGTACATTGTGCTGTATATTATAGCATCAGCTATAGAGGACTACAAATCCCACTATCCCAGCAATACATTATAGAGCACCATGTGTGGGGGAGTGCAGGCTTACCTGAGGAGTCTTCCAGCAACTTGCTTCTGAGATCGGGTCTGTCTGTCATCCGCCCACACCTGCTCCTCCATACTTCTTCTCCCCGCGCCGCTGTGCCGAACGTGGATGTGGGCGGGTGGTGAGCGTGAGGCGGGGAGGAGGTGTGGAGCGTGGATGCAGGTCTAACAGTGACAAGCGTGAGGTGGGGAGGAGGTACGGCACGCAGCCGTACCTTTTAAAAATGTATTTTATTTTATATCCGATTAACCGATTATTCGAACGTAATAATCGGCTAACTAATCGATTTTAAAAGTAATCGTTAGCTGCAGCTCTATACACTTACGTGACTTTTTACCCATTATACATACAGTATATGTATAGAGGGGAACTGCTGCTTTTCCATGTTTTTAAGTGATTTAATTCAATGAGTGCACTTGTTGTCTTTACATATATGTTAATAAAGATATTGTGATGTACATTTACCTTGAGGCTAGTGACTGAATATATAGGGTATATTTTTGGCTGTTTAGGAATCCCACCACAGTCTGACTAGGAATCTCAGGGAGCCATGTTATGAATAGTTTTTCGTCAGAACTTACCTTTCACAATTACTGTTATAATATGGTGAACTGAGCCCCTATTATTGTGAGCTGTACATCTGTACTTCCCAGCATCAGCCTCTGACACATCCACTATTCTCATAGTTTTATTAAAGTTTTCGTAGAACACTCTGTCACTGGGCAATTCAGCTCCTTCTTTATTCCAACGAATTTCTGGTGTAGGTCTGAAAAACAGCAATACATACACTGAAGTAAGGGCTATACAACAAGTATATATGTGCGTACACTGAAGAAACAAAAGTTGCTCTTGAAATATGTGGATGCAGGATAATTAGAAATGATTGATCCTGCAAATGCTCACAATATTCATTAACGGTGTATGTCTGTTTTATCACTACACTTTGAATTTTGTTGAAGACATATTGAAGGGCACTTTTCTTCTACTGGAACACAGGACACCAACTGGACCCTTTGGGCATACCAAGGTACTGTGTAAAAATGTGGGTGTGACATCTGGGCAACTTGGGGATGGTTAGTGAGAGAAGGAAAGTGGGTTGGAGTTGAATAGATCTCTTAGGGAAGGAGAGGTGACTACCTGCATACACAGTTAACCAATACATGTATGGCTGATGTCCTAATTGTTGAATCAGAGTATTGATGGTGTTAGCATTCACTTCTAATCCTGCAAAGGCTGCCAAAATGCAGTCTTTGGTTGCAGAGCAAGGGGATGGTACCCACAGTCCCTTTCCCCGTTTTAACCCAGTGGACAGTTGGCTGGGATTTGTAATGCCGCCTTTGAGCAAGCACTGCAGAAGATTAGAAGTGTATTTGCGAAAGGAGACAAACATAATGTTTACTTGGACAATGGAAAGCTATACTGGGATCATCTGCCTACCAAAGGCAGTGAGGTTGTAATGGTCAAAAGAAAGCATATTGTACCTGACCAAGTTAGAAGACAATTGTTGAATGTGGTGCATGAAATTACCCTAGCATAGGAATCACTAAGATGCCCGAGTGGTGCATAGTTTTTTCATGCTGACATTCTAACAAGTTTACATGCTTACTGATATAGCCAACTACTATTGGTCATATGTTACCTGCCAGCAAGGGTGGCGATGAATATTTTTGGGCAAATAGCCATCTGCATCAGTTCAGGCAAACAATACATCCTGTCACTAGTGGAATATGCCACCCAGTACCCAAATGATATGGCCCTATCCTCCATTAGAGCGGACAATATTGCTGATGCTTTGCTGGGAATTTTTACAATAGTCAGGTTCCCCTCAGAGCTCTTCAGTGATGGAGGCCTGCAGTTTGTGTCCAACCTCATGCAAGTCGCAAAACAGACGACACATATTGTGGCTTGTGCTTACTACAGCCTATGCAAGGATTTCAGTAGGACCTTGAAACAGATGCTGAGGATATTTGTGGATTCATATTGAAAGGAACTGGAACGATATATGATTTATATCATATTTGGTCTCTATCAAATATTAATTTAATTCTGTTCAGGTGAACTTTTCACAAACCCCTTTTTTTCTGTTGCTTATTCTTTATGACATTTCTGTTTGGGTATGGCAGTGAGTGTCACATACAATATATAGACAGAGACATTAAAAGTCAGAGTTGCAACAGCAGATGCTGGAAACAGTGGATTGTTTCACTAAAACAGGTGATGACAGCTACCATTTGTGCATGTAAAGCTAACAGAGGAATTAACCTGCCCCAGAGATGATCATTCTCAGTCTGGTGGCGCTTAGATTGTTTTTCCGCGAGCTGGGAATTATCTGCACACGGTAAGGCTGAAAATGTCACAACAGATGTGCTACACTATGAGGCCAGTTTACTAAAGATGTTTAGCGTCTTTACTCAGGAGATTCACTTAAATTATCCAATCATAACTAGGCGACGGATACACGCCGCATTCGATCACTGTGTAGATGTATCGGAAGCGATCCACATTGTGTATATATATATATATATATGATACGATCACAGGCAAATGTATGTCTGAATGTTTTCAGTTTCCGTATTGTTGGAAAACCCAATAAAAACTTTTCTGATAAAAAAAAAAAAGAAATGATCAAATCATGCTAAAAAAAAAAAATTACTTAGCAGATGGCTATTTTCTCCCTTTCATTATCCAACCTTCACCAACATCATGAAAAGGAGAACTTCCCTATGGCAGATAACAAATGAATAATTTAGAGAAGGGTAATACATTATTCCCTTGTGCTAGGCAATTCATACTGAGTGACATATCATTTGAAACCACCAGCAGAAAAATGATCTAGTGTTAGACACTATGGTATTGAGTGCATTACTAAGGAGGTGTTTCCTCCTAAACCTCCTGTCATTGATGCTGAAAAAAAATAGTACTTGCTTTGCTTAAAGAATACATATACATTTTATAAACGTAAGCTTCATTTAGGCAAATCAAGCATGTATGTACCGTATTTTTCGCTCCATAAGACGCACTTTTTTTCCCCCAAAAGGAGGGGGAAAATGTGCCTGCGTCTTATGGAGCAAGTACCTATCGCCCGACACCTGGGACATGCAGTTTCAGGCGCCGGGCGAGTAGTTTATTTTTGTACATTCAGCCCTGCTCCTGAGCAGCAGAGCTGAATGTACAGTGGGAGCCGCTGTTCGTTTAATACAAGCGATCTAAGTAGATCCCTTGTATTAAATCGAGCGGTGGCGGCATCGGCGATCGTGTCCGCCCCCCGCCGAGGTTTTCTGGGTCCCCCGTTCCTCTGGGGGACCGTGACCCGTCACGATCCCCCATAGGAGCTCACCATAGAGCCCATTGAGCAGACGAAGAACTATGTTCTTCGTCTGCTCTGTGTGATTACTGAGACAGCGCCACCTATCTCAGCAGTCACTAACTGCAGCTTCTGTAACAGAATTTCTGTCATAGAATTTCTGTCACAGAAGCCATGCGTCCTATCTCCTGGAGCATCTTATAGACCGCAAAATACGGTAACATCCTTCTACATTTTCCATTTTTTCTGTCCCTTGAGAGATTTACTGAGGTCACGCAGATCCTAATAGTTTAAGGTTCTCAACTAGTGGGTCGTGACCCAAAAGTGGGTCGCGACCCCATGTTTAATAGGTCGCTGCATGCCTTCCACTTTTCTAGGTGAGAGGTTCCTCAGCCACCCCCTAGCACAGCACTCAGTTCTCACACTAAGCAGCCATTCAGAATATGCTGCCCGGCACCGAGTGTCAGCTTGAGGTGGGATAGGATGGGGCTATGGCCACGAGGGAGCTCCAACCATGTGTGCATTGCTTACAGTTCCCTCATGTGTCATGTAGAGGTGCCTGGACCAGAGTAACGCACTGTACCATGAAATCACACCTAGTACGCGTTCTTGCGCGGGAGGTATGTTGCGTTGCTATTCATTTGAATGGTATTCCAAACACACCTCCCACCCACAGTTCGATCGCCCGCACCGGAACGTGCGGTATTGCAATGCTGTGCTGTCCATTGCAGTATGACGTGTGTCGCGACTTAATGACCAAGGACAAATGTGGGTCCTGAGGTTACACAGGTTGAGAACCACTGGTTTAAGTCATCTTGAAGCTATAACAATTGTCCACAGATGTAGTAGGCATTGTGCATGTCTGTGGAGTTATGTCAAAGTAGGCATTACTGGTTTCTTTTTTTTTTTTTTTTATTAGTCCCTCTCTGTAATAAATATGTTAGTTACATGCATGCTCCTTAATGTGCTTCCAGCAGCAGTCCTGGATTTTTCTTAGCCGCATTTATGGAGAAAGTGCCAGATTGGAGTGTGGTTTGTAACACATGGACCATTCATGTTACAGCTTGTTATGAGATAATTTTAGGCTGAATCTTTTGAATATGTTCATTGTGGTCATGTAGCCCACTATGTGAGAGCAACTATACAGTCTGGTTGTAGTGTGGTACAGCAGAACATGGACTGTTCATGCTGTAGCCTGTAAGGAGATATACAATATGATGGATGACTTGGTTTGATGCAATGCAGTTCAAACAGCAAGCCCAGTGAGAATTGGCATGCATGTCTGATCTTGTGCCACAGGCACAGTTGAAAGATACAGACCCGTAGTGCCTACATTACTGTGGAGTGAATGTTGAGTCTATGAGACCAATGTGAGTGTGTCTAGCACCTGCTGCAATATGATATAGCTATGTAGACAAAGACATTGCATGCCCATCATGAACTGAGAGACACATATCAGTGTTACATGCTGTACTGAAGCTCTTGACATATGAGAAAAAGGAGAATCAGAATACAAAGGTGATAAGTCCTGTGATTGCTGGACAATAGGTTAAATTGGTGTATAATGCCCATATAAAGAAATATACCCCAGATATTTAATGCAACACTGTTACATGCAGAGCAATATCACACTCCTTTTTCTGGTGGAATCTGAGCCAGATCGTCGGCCATTAGTGTATGTGGCTGCTTCATTAGTTGACTTGCATATGGAGGATGACAACTTATGTACGATGGGCAAGTACAATTCCAATAAGAAGGCTGCAATGTTATTGTTGAATACACAAGTTATGTTTTAATCAACTAATTTGGATGAAATGGTTTCATTTATATTTGCTGCAGAACAAGTGTGTGAGATCTTTATAATCTGCCCAGGCTATAATATCAAGAATCCATGTAAAATACAAAATGATACACTTTGTGGAGTTGCAGTACAAATATAACAAGCAAGTCTTGCTGAGGATTCTTTTGCTGGATGCAATCAGATTGACACATGTGGATTAAGTATAACTATATTTTGTATAAACGTATTCCCTGAACTGTTGCATATATCCAGGAATGTAAGATACCTTACCTGTATTATAATAATAATAATCCATGATATGTGCGATTATAAAAAGAAGTTTGGATAACATAATAACAGAATATCACATTTGAATTTACTTGCTAAACTGGGAGGGATTTTCATTGGCTTTAAATGTGCGTCAGTATTGTTTTAATTAAGAGATTTTATATTATTGGCACAGGATGGAAATATAGATTAGCCCATGCATTACTGGAGTATCTCCATTCAAAGGAAATGTAACAATTATTTTAGGTGTTAAATGGCAGTATTTACCCAGTGAAGGGCTGCTGAATTGGACTTCATACACCTTTTTCCTCATGCCTTTATAAAAATCATATTTCTTTTTTTCAGTTATAGCTAAATGGATGCCAGATGATCTGTAGTTTCTTACCATTTTTAA